AAGCGAGTTCTGGCAAATTCATGCAGCCCAGCCGAGTCCTACATCCTTCCGGGGTCTGTTAATTGGTGCTCTGCTGGGCCAAAGTAGAAGAAAGAATTCCGTTTCGTGATCCATTCCAGAGATAATGCGACTGCTGTTCAACAAGAGCGTTGGGAGCTCTGGGCCCAGGACGCATCATTACTGGTGAAACAAACGTTCCTCCCCCCCCCCCCCCCTTCCTCGAAACTTCTTCCTCTGGTGCGATCCCCTTTCCTCATTCCACTTGGAGACGCACCCGCACTCAAGCAATATGTGGGTGCCCTTTTCGTACGAAGTAAACCGGTTCTCAGTTTTTAAGATCGTCCAACTTCCATGGCCTCACAGTTAGTAACCAAAGCGCCGCGGCCCTCATGGGTGCCATCCTGACGTCTCCCTAGTTTCCCTGCCCACGAGAACTCAAAGGCTTCCAGTCACAATTTCCGTTTTGTTCACTTTTAGATGGTACAGGCATTGCATTGCGAGAGGAAACGTTTATTGTGTCAGAGCTAGCAGGACATCGCATTGCTGTCATGAAACGCGCAGGTCCGGACAACTCGTCCAGAGAGGCTGCCAGATCCTTACTTAGGGTGTCCTCCGTGTTTCCTTGCTTTTTTTCTTCCATGGAGAGTCGCTTGGCGACTTGAGGTTCATAACTGAAAGCCCACAGTATGCAGTTGCGAGAGTTGTCTTTACAGCAGCGCGCAACGTACCATAGAAAGGTCTCACCAAGAGGAAACTTGGGCACTATTCAACTATTACCACCCCAATTTACCTGATAGATCTTGATTGACTTTTTTCTACGGGGGGCAGATTTGGCTGAAAGTTGGGTTCGGTAATTCGACCTTCTGAACACTAATATCACATTCGCTCGGCCTAAAACCGCCCGGCGAACGCGCCAAAGTACCCTAGGTCACCAAATCCGCTGAAAACTTGTATACGGAGGTTATTTGACATCTTGATTACAAATATCACATTCATTTTTGGCGCTGGCGCTGATGGAAGACGCTGCGATCATCTGCGCTCTGCTAAGGCTGAGCCTGACCTGAAGGAAATCACTTTCCCAGGCTCAGCCTTAGAAAAGCGCTAAATGGCGCTGGCGTCGAAAAATAAATGTCATATTCGTGATCAGGGCATCAAACAACCCCATTATGCAGGTTTTTATCGATTTTGATAAAAAGGTGTGGCGCCAAATCAGCGCCTAATGGCGCCAAATGGCGTCAGGGCTGAAAACTAATTCGGTATTCGTGATCAGGACATCAAATAACCCTACTATGCAAATTTACACCGAATTTGGTGAGAAAGGTGGCGGCACCAAAGTGGCGCCAGTTGCGTCAATTTGCCCAGCGCCGAAAAGAGTGCTGTATTCGTGATCAGGACACCGAGTTACTGTAGGCAAAATTGTACCAAAAAATTTTTTTGACTTTTTGGGTAAGTAAGGGTTGAGCGGGCCGAAACTTACTTACGAGGCCAAGTTCAGTTCTCTAGAAACCAATAAGCGGTAGCAGAAGGGGGGGGGGGGCTCGAGAAATCTGGAGCATATGAGCTAGCAATTATGAGGTTCACGACAAGGCGAACAGCTGTTCAGTGCACATGGACTTTTCACAATTGGCGACATATATCGGCTTCTATTTCAGCAAGAAGCAGGGGGTTGAGACGAAGACTTATTCAGGACATGCCGTTTGGGCTGAAAGAAATCCCCTGTAGAACATGTTTGAATCGAGTTATGTAGGAGAGTTCAGTTCAATCTAGTTTTACAACGCGTTGTCATAACATTTGTTGGAAAGCAGGGTAACTCGCCATATGTTCCGGTGAATTTGATGTGGTTCACACTTGTGTTACCCTTCCCGCTGGAGTTCTTCCGCTGTCCTTTTGTATTGCAACGTTTTCTTGCACTCGTTTACCTAGCGTGAGCGAGTGTGAGCTGTTATTCTAGAAGAACAATGGGGAGATTGTAGTAGTTCCTTCAAGTTTATTCCTGAATTGAACTGAATTTATTCTTTGACCAGGCTAAGGTGGTGGCTTTCGGGCTAACAAACGACTGGAAATCACAGAGCCTTTTTCTGCGGTTACTTGTTTCTCTGCGCCCCAGCCGTCCAAGAGCTTTTGATGAAGCTCTTGGACGGCTGAGGCGCAGAGAAATGGAGGCTGCTGTTGCCAAGGGTCGAAAAGTGCAAGAAAATTTTGTAGTGAGCCAAGGGATGGGCTTTCTTAGGTGCAGGGGACTGCGGGATGGAGCCGCTAGTCAAGCGTAAAAAGTTGGAATGTGTAGGATCGTAGTGGTCATAGAATGTCATACAGACGAGAGAGAGAGAGCGCAGAGAATAACAGAAAATTGCCGCTGTCAAAGGGATTTGTCCGTAGATCATTTTTTTACGGTGAAAAACACTGTTCGCGGCCTACGGACAATTTGAATTCAATCTGTTTAACTGCCTCAACTTTATTTTTTCTCTGCGCTGTCACATCTGTATGACCTCAGCTTAGAATCCCCTTCCTCTGAGAAAACCTCATCTCTCGGCAGCCGCAATCCCGTATTTCTCTGCGTTCCAGCCTTTCGCGTCAAGACATCTACCAGTAATTCTAGTTGTAATAGTTGGATTAATTCAGTCATGGGGGTCCATGTCTTATGTTGATTATTTCATGGCCTTATCTGGAATAAAATCAACGACTGATAGATTCTCGCATTGAATGTTGAGGAATTCAGAAAGACCACGTCAGTTATTCTATAGCCTAATTCGCTGCGGACGAATGGGCGTGTCAGGCAAGATGAGCTTGGCACGATGCCACTCCCGCTCTCCGTCAATCGTTAAAGCAAGCAAATGACGAGACTGTATCATATCGTTCGTATCACTCGTTTTCTTCCAATTATTGCCGCATACCCGCTTCAACAACTGGCAGAGAACGGGTTTGGTGCCGTGGCAGACTCATACTGCCTGACATCAACTTGCCCGCTGAACTAAAGTATATTCTAATTATATAGTGTTCATTCAATGAGCCATCAATTGGGCGGGGGGGGGGGTGGAGTAGACGCTGTTTTGAATAAAACTTGCGATTCATGTCTGCTAAGGAAATAAATGAAGTTGCTAAATGAGAAGTTAACAAACCAGTCGATTCTCCTAGTAGTTGAGCAACCAATGTGTGAAGAAAGCCTGCAAATCTGCCCGTCGTAGGCTTTGCCTGTGGTTTGATCCTTTGCCAAAGACTTCCTTAGTTTTTCTGTTGAAAAGCTCTTTAGCTTCCCATCCACGGCAAAGCATCATTGAGTTTGCTTATTATCTGCCCTTTTCGATTATATGTCAAGGTCTATTACCTCATAAAGCCTCGCTTTTTGAAATTAGCTCTCATCTCTCAAGGGTACGCCTTTTCAGCAAGATTTCTTTTAATTTTGACGTTTTTCCTGATTTTTTGTGGTTCTTCTTTTCGTTTTTATGTTCTTTTTTATGTTTTTGCTTTCCTTGACTGGTTTTTGTCCTGGAATGATTTTAGTGCGTTTATTGTATCGCACTAAAATCGTTTATTTTATCGTTTATTGCAAGCAAAATAAATAGATGAATGGCGAAGTGCCCTTAAATCCACCACAAGTGACATTTCCGACTTAAAGGCTGTTTGGCCTAGCGTTACGATGACAAACTCGTGACTTTGGTGAGGGTCCTACTTTTTTCGCTCCCGAAGCACACGCTTCCCTTCCCTCCAATAGAACATTCTTGTTATTCATTAATTGTCTGTCTTCATGTGGTTTTCTCTTATTGCTTCCTGCTTCGCATGCAGCTGTTCCGCATGATTCACTTAGGCTTTATTCCGGAAAGATTCCTTCAGACTTGATTTCTCTTATGTTCTTTCTTGTTGTAATATTCTCATTCCACTCTGTACTATGTGGTCCATTTATCATCGGAATCTCTTGTTTTCGTGAAGAAAGAACGGCTTAGTTCGCAGTAACTCTCTTGCAGCGACTAGGCTTTGCTCTCTTACGACATCTGACGGACCGAGCGGGGTGAAGCAAAGCGTCGAGCAGTAGTTCCGCTTAAAAGGAGGCTAGGTTTCCCTTCAATAAATTCTTGGATATAATTGGGAGGAGTCGTCGGGGGCGGGGTCAACTATGGCATTATAAGAAAGTCCATTAAACACTTATATGTGTAACATAGTGGAATTGTGAAAAATTAGTGTAAAGAAAATGTATGTAATGCTGATTGATGCAAATGTTCGCGACAAAAAGTGGGCGTGGCTATCTGGAGCGGGCCCTTCCATGAGCTGTGTGCAAGGGTAGTTTAGATGGCGTGCCGCGCAAGAATGCAACAAATTGCTTCGCGAAGGAGTACGGTAGGACCTCCAACATCGAAAACTTTTCCATTTTTGTTTTTCCCTTATCACGCACCTTTGCTTAACAAAAAAAGGCTGGGGGAAAAAGGGAAGATGGTAGATGTGTTCCGGAAGAAGTCGCACGGAGACAGTTCTTTAAAGGAATTGTACTACCACTGCCATTTCACATAACCCGATGATATTTCCGGCCCCGACCACTCATCTGCGGAGGTAAAGTCATTTCTCACTCGACCGAGTAGGGTCGGGGGACTCGTAGGAAGCGAAATGCGACCTTACCAGCTATCAAACAAGACCCTACGAGATTCCTTGACACATGTTCTAATCAGGGACCAGATGAGGTTATCTCCTGAAGAGGTTCATCCGTGGGTTTTGTGCGCGATTTTGTTTTTCCTTTTTCAGAAATCACGTAACCGTTGCCTTCTTCTACATTCGTTTTTTCCTTGTCAGCAGTATTCATTAGCTTTCCTAGCCAGGCGTATGAAGATTGAGGGTTTCCTTGACATTCTGGGGCTCGCTTTTGATGGATAGACGTCTCAAGACTCAGGCAGGCTTCCTGCTCTTTCGCTTACCATTGGTTAGCGCTAGATTTGTGATGTAGAAAGGGCTTACTTGAAGCTTTTCACTCACGTGAGATAAATATGTTTTCAGTACCTGAACAACTGAAGCGCATGTACAATTTGCAAAACGGTACAAACGATGCTCCGATTCGAGCTAACGTTTTCGATGACCTGGATGTGGACAGTTCAGTGACGGGCTCGATACTTTCAAGAGATCGACAACAACCTTTGGATTCGTCATCATCGTCTATCTCCAGAAGAGATCTCAACAGTACTGCTACAAACTGGATTAGACTTAACGTTGGTGGAAAGGTAGGTCAAGGTAAAATAGCCTTGGGCGCAAGTCGGCTGAAGGAGGAGGCATGTGAAGGCGGTGGACACGACACTTAGAGGCTGGCTGTTACTGCCAACGTCGTTGGTGGAAGGGCTGCGTGAGGGAGTTTGGCCACACCTCACTCCGCCTTTCCACCAATGACGTTAGCAGTGACCGCCCACCCCTAATATCGTGCCCACTGCCTTCAGAGGGTTCTTTGAAAATCAGGCCTATATTGCGAGACCACCCTTGCTCAAAGAAATTGGTTCATTCAAACCGGAGCTCGTTCCCTCCTTTACCTAAGCAAAAATTTTACCATTAAGGAAATCCTATTCCAGTCGCGAGAGCCCTTTGAGTGCCTCTCTTAGCCAGCTTCCATCTTGTGATATCAAGCTTTCATCTCCCGCCCAATGTGAATTATTCATTTCAGATCTTTCAAACTACGCGTGATACTCTAATGAAAGTTCCTGGTTCGTTCCTTTACCGTTTATGTCAGGATGATAAAAGACTGCCTAGTGTTAAGGTACCAGTCGTCGGGATTTTTTTTGTTTTTTTTTGTATTTTTGATTACTTCTTGTTTTTTTTGTATTTTTCGCAAAGCAGCATCGTTTGCAGGATGAGACGGGCGCGTACTTGATCGATCGTGACGCGGATTATTTTTCACCCGTTTTAAATTACCTCAGACACGGAAGGCTTATAATAAATCCTGGTCTAGCCGATGAGGGTAAGGTTTATGGAAAGCTTCCTGTTATTCAGTTGTTATCGTTTGTTGGGGGTTATTAGTGGCGCGCGCTTGCGGACAATCAATCATGAAAGGAATTTCAGGAGTTCTAGAAGAAGCGGAGTTCTACAATTTGCCGCAATTAGTGCATCTCGTTAACGAAAGGATTCACGAAAGGGAAAGAAGCTCAAGTGAAGCTGGGGTAGGGACATAGTGTTTATTGACCGTTAACGCTTTCCGAGTTCTTTGGCGCTAGACCTACGGTCCATTCTTGAGGTACTGTAAGTATACCGAACCATATCTGTGTGATTCTGTAAAGTTTCCTTGAGCTGCAACATGCGACGAGTTCGATTTTTGGGCGCGATTCGGCGACCGGGGGGGGGGGAGAGCAGTGTGCCCTTTCTCTGGTTCCCATTATGGGGTGGAGCTCCAAGTAGAGATTTGAAATCCTGTGAAGCCATGAAGTGATACCATTCAAAGTTTGTGGAAACTACCTGCCACCTCTTGTAAAGGGTATCTGCAAACTCTTGTAAAGCAGTAAACACGACAGTTGGAAGCAGCAAACGTATAAAATGCCCCCCCCCCCATCGCCGATCGCGCCAATTTTGTGTTGATCTCCGTCCTTTTTATATTTTGGAATTCAGCTAGCTCCTAGAAGATGTGAGTGCCAAGGATGACGAGTTTTGCTTAACCTAGGGAGGAAAGGATTTATTTTGGGTGGGAGAGTCAATAACACTGGCCTAGCAGAAAGGGGCCGTCACAAGTTACAAAAAGTGGCTCGTCTATTTCGGGGCTTTCAAACACTTCTTACTAAACCCGGCGTATTTGCAGAACGTTACGAAACGTTCCGTATATAGGTCCAGCTGCTTCAATTTTACAAAATAGTTTTACTCAACTTCCGAAATTTACAGCGATTTAAAAGTGTATATCGTGTCATACAATGTCATGAAGAAGAACTAACCACTTTCATTTCGGCAACAAGTGACGGATGGAAGATTGTTCAGGTAAGATATTGTGCAAGTATTATGACATGTTAAACAAAAGTAAAAAGGGGTAAAATTTAGGGCGACTGACTTTGTTTCTCTTTTCACTCCGGGTTCGACTGAGGGCTCACCAACGGTGTGTGGCAAATTTTCCTCGACACTTCGCCCCCGCCCCCTCCCCTCCTCTCCCTTTAAACATCCATTAAGTTGGGGGAGAGGTCATTAGGATGGTCGTATTGAATCGAAAGAAGGGGAGGGCGTATTGAGAATGTTTGCGGTGGAGAAGAAAAGCTAGGAAAAAGTGGTGAGAGGTTTGGGGAAATGAGAAAGTGTGGGCATGGAGGGGGTTGTAGCATAGGAGGAAATTTCGAGGAGGTCGTACTTTGCAAAATTTCCTCCCTATGGCAGTATGTACCCTGCCTGTGAAAGCCTGTAACAACGGACATGATCTGCCTTTGCCAACTGGTGATATTGCTAGGCATCTGCGCAGAAATATATGCGAAAAAAATTATTTGGAGAGGCCATGATCCCAGTTTAATCCATCCTTCCCGTCAATTCTGTGCAAAAGTACGAAATGTAAGCTGTTTTACAGGTACTTCCTGTGCAGAGCAGATACCAAGATTACACAGTGGATAGGCAGCAAGAGTATTTGTGTATTGTTGTTCCGGGAATGTCCTGACAATGGTTCGGTTAGCGACAGTCGAGACAGGGCAACCTTGCTGCAGCAAAAAGCTAGACGTGGGTTTTACTATTTCGTTCTACTTATGGTTAGTTATATTAAAATCTCTACGGGTTCCGTTTGATGATGATGATGTCTACAAACTTTATTTGACCTTCCATTAATATTCATGAAGATGGCCTGCCCCATAAGGGCAAATGCACCCGGCCAAGGCACAATCCTTTGTCCTAACTAGCCACATAGCTCTAGGATGTGATTCCTGGCGTGGCAATTGGCTGCTGGAGTTGGGCAGGATAACTGTATTTGGGGAAAATGTCGGTTCTCCTTTCCCTCCCACCCTCTCCCCCTTCCACGGCAGTACTTTGGGAAGAGCTATAGAGTTTGGAAAATAGCGGGAAGTTTGGCATGAAGTTGGGGAAGTTCAGAAAGACGTTAGGCAGGATGTGGTATAGGGAAGATGGAGGTCGCAGCAGAGGAAGAATTTTGGGGGTGGGGTCGTGCGGAAACAGTTGTCTCGTAAATGTCTGGAAGATCTGCTATTTGGGATCGGCGGGAGAAGATTGGATGGGCATCGATCTGCTTCGATTCGTAAACGGCGCTAATAAGCTCATTCTCCCGAATCGCGGATTCTGCGCATTCGGAAAGCGTGAAGAATGGGGAATCTGAATCCATTTTTTTCAGATAACTAGCGCTCACCAACTTCCTCCACTGCATCATGCCCAATTGTCGAGGAGATTGCTTCAAGGTGACATTGATGTAACACTACACGATCTTATCATTTTCAACTTATTTTTGAACTTCACGCAAGTAATTTTTTTGTCGTGTTAAGCACCACTAACAAAAGGAATTCTTTTCTCGTCGTCCATATGAGAGATATCATGGTTAAGCTGACAGTCTATTCATTTTGTATAGCTGCTCAAATTTTATTCTCTCTATAACGGTTCTAAAATTCTAATCTCACTTCACCATATGTATCATGCCCACATCTGATCCCTTCTATGTTTGCACTCGCCCACTCATTTTGTTCTAGCTATAGCACTTATAGTTTGTAATATATTTTTCATAACTATTATGATTTTCACGTATGTACGACCAAAGTAATGTTTAATATTTAATACTTCCCGTGAATTTGAATTGCGTTTTAGAATTGAAGCTTGTAAATGTTTTATCACGAATTGTTTGTGTGTGTATCCCTAGCCCTATTCTATCCCTTCTTCATTGTCTGTCATATTTCTTAAATCGCTTTATGATCTCGTTTCTTATCGAACGAAGCAGCTTTCACATCATCAAGATTCCACATTATTCAAATGTTTGATTAAATTCGGTTTTTCATTGTATTATCATACGACAGAAGTATTAGAGGAACAATTTATTGACATTTTCTTCAAAATTTCCAAACAAGTATGTACTTAACAAGGATATTATAGGGCGAGCTGAAGTGACCAAAACAATGACCCAAACAACAACATTATACCACCAGTCGATAAGTGATGTAGCGACCGGCAGTCTCTGATGGTCGAACGATTTTCACGACCTGACCACGTTTAAGTCCGAAATACCTGGCGACGGGGTCCGACAGTTGGATGCGGGGTAGTTGTGTGTCTTTCAACTTGCTGAAAGAAAGAGATTCATTGGAAAGTGCAGCAGTGTACAGTCATTATCTCTGGGAACAAGTGTGTGCGGGGGCGTGGCTTGAAGCCAGGGAGGCTTCTCTACCGATGAATCGTGGCGGGCGCCACCTGAGCCCGCCACGATTTGTGGGAATTCTGCCCTGGTGCGCTCCAAGCCACGCCCCTGTCGCACGCCCTATTTACAAAGATTATGACTGTACATTATCGGTATGAAAAATCGAAGAAGGGAGGTCATATACACTCCTGGGAGGGTCCCCTCCGTGAGTGAGGTCGCAATTTGACCCTATGTTGGGCCCCGTTCGTACATAAAGAACTCGATCAATCGTAAAAGACGAATATGTGCGTATTGATTGGAAAAATCTAGAGGACCGACGAAAAGGAGGGCCAAACAGAAATGCACGGCTCCGCCTTCTGTTGCTTGGTAGAACAATTCATCTGTACGTTTACAAACCTGCTACACACTGCGGAAATTCTTTTGCTGGGAACACGCCCCAGAGGAGGGGGCCTACGCAGTGGCGCGTGTCCCCACCACACTTCTGAGCGTTTTCAATGCGCCCTTCTAAAGCTGCCCTTGACATAGAAGGGATCAGCTGTCGAGGCTACATATTGGAGGGAAAGGGGAGGGGGGGGGAAGGGTGTTCCCCCTTCCAATGCGCAGCCTCAGAATAGCACAGACGACAAGAGTCCTTGCATGGCATCATTCCAGAGCGCAGGAGAATAGATTTTGCTCCATTCCAGTACAGAAGAATTTGAAGATTTTTTTATCAAGAAAAAAAACTTACACAGGGACTGGGCTGGAACGTGACGCCCTGGTACCATCTCCCGACTCAGCCCACGCTCTCTCAAGGTGCTGAACTCGTATCGGTAGTATATTAACGCACCAAACACGCAGTCAGAGGTAGAGAACAAAACAAGTGAGAGGGATCAGACAAGTATTAGTACAGCATTGCTTAGGCGTCTGCCGGTGATGTGGCAGCGCGGGCGGAATCGTAAAACATCATCCCGCTACCACCCCCCCCCTCGAGCCCAGCTCCCATGCACTTTTCAGCGGAAAAGGTGCACGCCAATGCAGTTGCGGACGCATTCACCTCGTACATGGCAGGTACCACGATCCACGGAGGCGAGTGTAGTTTGTCTCTCACCGTTCTACCCCCCCCCCTATCCCCCTTCGCGATGGATCAGTCCTCCACATTCACAAGATGTTTATGGTTCGGAAGATCATCTGTGAGTTGGTCAGCAAGTCATAAACAAAACTGTAGAAGAACTCACTATCTTGCTAATAATTCCGCTTTTTCGTCGCTCGTCATGACAACATGTTCCGGGACAAGTTCATGCTCCGTTATATTCACCATGAGCTCAGATTCCAAGAAATGTTCAAGGATGTACTTCGGTGCCATATCGGCTATAGCCTGAGAGAAATAGCTCATTGACAATAAATGAACCCTACCTGGGTTTCACACAGACATTCAAAAAAAATCGCTACATTTACACATATGCTCAGTGATTACCTGCTTTGCACTAGGAGTCATTCCTGTTTGAACCACTATAATCGCTCTCGTGATTGTTTGCTCTTGCATTTGCTGGCAAATTGCCTTTATCGTCTTGATTCCTATTTTTGTGTCTTCTGGGAAGAAAACGAACATTTGATCTGAAAATAACAGGAACTACAAAAGGGACGTTCCGAAAGAAGACAATACAATGCCTAATTTTGGAGCAACTAGGATGAGAGATGGAGAAAGTGTAGGAAAAGCAAAAGGCTGCAAAAGCAAGATCAAATTCCCCCCTACCGTGATACCCTAAAAGATGGCGGACCACTTTGGGAGGATTTCCATCATCAGCTGACCCGCAATCCAATGCCCTCCCAAAAAGTATATGAACTGGCATGGAAGCAGGGCACGTCGTATGTTGGGGAATTGTGCGGGGGTATTTTTGGCTGCAGGAAGAGGATCATGTTTGGCCTAAGAAAATTTTTGTAGGTTCCTGTTTCATGCGCGCTAGGCACATCGTTGGGAAGGCGACGCGGCCGTACAGGAAAAGAATTTGGGAGGCCGTTTTTGCGGAAAATTCACCAGCAACAGGACGTGCCTTGGATGGAGGCCAACGTGCGACCAGTTAACCAATAGGTCGCAGGTCAGCTGAAAGGAAGCAAGCGCCCTAGAAGGGGTTACGGGTAGTCGTGGTTCGGCATAAATCTTCCTTTGAATGCCACCATGTCGCGAAGGTTCTTTAACACAGTCAGCACCACAAGCGTAATGGGTGAATTTATATCAATGGGTTTTTGCATTTGGTGAAAAGGGCATATATCACTAACGATAAAATCGATGACAGATCTCGATTAATGAAGGAAATAGGGAGCGGTTTGGGGGCGGGGGTGGGGGAGTTTGGACGTTTTGCATTTTCGCCACATCTCACCAACAAGTCGAGCCATCAATTAGAGATGTATGAAACCTAATGAAGCTACAAACCACGAAGCTGACGTAATAACGAAGTTTTTTGTGCTCATTTGTTTCACGCTTGTAAAGCATGCGAAGATAGGAAGAAGGGAAAATACAAAATGCCTCCCCCTCCTCCAAGCCGAACTGCGTCAAAAATAGATAGAAGATGTGGAAGTGTGTTAAATGCCGATCTGTCTCACAAGGGAACCCCAACAGGTCGATCCGGCCATTTGCAATGAGATGTACATATGTGGACGTGTCTTGAGCCGCTGAATCCAAATCTGCCCTCCGAATTTGCGGAACGATTCTCTGAAGGGAGTTACGGACCATTTAATCTTTGTTCTAGTTGCTTAAGTTGAGAACGATAACTGCATGTGGCAAGCAGCCGTTGGCCTAGTGGATAAGCGCACTGCTTCAGAGACACGAGGTCGCATGTTGGAATCTTGACTCTTGAAAACTTTTGCTTTTGTTCAAAACACTTGATATGAGCCCCCAAAAAACTTCTGCTTGGCCATTTTACCTAGTTCTTTGATTATTTGCCAACGGAAGGCGGCCGATTCTCCATTTCTCTTTCCTTTTGGAAACTTTTATTATGAGGATAACCGTTTCTAGAGCTTGCATCAAGGAATGAGGATCTTACGGTTTAAGAGCACATGTGGTATTCTTCCACGAAATGATAGAAACAATACAAGTTCTCACAATGAGCACAGCGAATGAAAAAGTACTCTGCACACACGGTACAGTTACAGTTCTCCACCAGTCCAGAGGGGAAGCAGTACTGAAATTTGTTTTTGATTTTGAACAATATTCTGTCTACGTGATCTGTGCAGAATTATCCGATATGATCAGCCCTCATGATTGTGATCTACCGACACGTGGCATTCCGCGCAAAGACATTGCAGTTGCTTTCTTGTTCTGTCGAGATGTTTTGCCCAAGCTGGCACTGGCGTATCTGTTGAGGGACTTCGGTTCCTGTGAAATAACACGAGTACCTTCCTGTGAAATAACATGAGTACCATCTCGGGAGGAACGGAAAGTAATAAACTTCTGGTCTATCTTGCGACGCCAAATACGACAACCTACCAATCGGCGTCGACGAGGAGGACTATGTGGAAGAGCATGAGGAAGACCCCTATGAAGCCCAGAGGACGAGGAGTGCGACAAGCTGAAAGGCGCGACAGAAGGCCCCTTGAAGGAGAAGGTGGGTCTTTCATCAAACAATGTGGTTTACGACTGGTTTACGAACTTCTTATCCTATTCTTGGTACTCGGCTGGATACTTCGATGCACATCCTGGTGAGTCCGACGCACCTCTTCAGTGCTGCTTCTGGACTGGTGAAAACTGTAACTGTACCGTGGTGCAGAGTACATTTTCATTCGCTGTGCTCATTGTGAAAATTTGTATTGTTTCTATCATTTTGTGGAAGAATACCACATGTGCTCTCGAGGCGTAAGATCCACATTCCTTAATTTACGCTCTAGAAACGGTTATTCACATAATTTTTAAAGCAACCAGAGATGGAGAATCGGTCGCCTTCCGTTGGAAATAATCAAAGAACATATGTGAAAGCCACACAGAACGTCTTTTATTGGGGGCTATAGTCAAGGGTTCTGAACAAAAGCAAAAGTCAGGGAATCCAACATCCGACTTCGCGTCTCTGAAGCAGTACGCTTATCCACTAGGCCAACGGCTGCTTGCCACATGCAGTGTGATCCCTCAACTTTAAGCAACTAGACAGCCATATTAAAGGTCCTTACTCCTTCAGTGAATCGTTCCGGTCCATTCGGAGGGCAGATTCTGGATGTCAGACGGCTCAGAGACGCGTCTTACGAATGTATCATCTCCTTAGCACACGGCCGGATTCGACGCTTTTGGATTGTCCCACTTTCAGAAGAGACGAGCGACCAGTTCTAAATATTTTTTTTGAGAACAATTTCCATGATAATCATCATACAGCACCGAAATACCTGTTGGGTCGTCGTTATGAGCAACAAGAATGGTGAGATCACTACGAGCTGGCTTCCTTTCACTGGGACGATCGCCAAACATCTCTTTAAACTCTTCTAGGGTTTGATCCAATTCTTCCTGCGTTACCAAGTATCCACGATCGTGACACATCTATAACGAGAATGAATTTATTCAGAATGCTGCTCTTCTTACAATCACGAAAACTTCATTTGAATGATATTGGCGTACGTTTCGGCATGTGGAGAGAGGGGGGGATGTGTGGATTAATGACTGCTCGTGCACAATCAGCTTGGGTTGGATACAGTGAATTATTGCAACCAAAGTGGTTCACTTATACTATTTAGCAGTCACAAGAGTTTGCAGGTTTGCAAAAACCTATTGGTTAACATTGACAACCTGAACCAGCGAAAGATCAAAATGTCCCTCTGAAGCCGAACAGCGCCTGAATTCTCTTAGCGGGAGTAAAAGTAAGTTACAAGAAGTCCATAAGTAAACCTGCATGATGGTTTTCCTCACTCGCCATAGCTTATAGGTCTCTTGCTCATCATCTGCCATTCTGTCCTGGAGTAAAAAAAAAACGCAAATAATCACATTCCCTGTGCAGACCACTGTAAATGCAGACCACCGTAAATGTGCAATAGATAAGTATGGTAATGATACCGATAACAACAACTAGTCTTACTGATTTTCTATAAAACTTTATCAAAAAAAATATATAGAAATCTATGGTCATGGTGGAATAATATTTAAAAAGCTTTAACACCGGGGGAAGAAAATAACACAAATGGTGAGAGCTATTCTAGCTAGTGAAAGTGGGAGCCTAATTTCTGGCTAGCTAGTCGTCTAATGATATACATAATGAAAGGATGTGTACAGGAGGACTCAAACATGTTGTTTACAGCAGTCCATAACGAATAAACAAAACTACGCCTTGTTCACTTCACTCGTAAATGAGCTTGCATAATCTTCTGGAGGAGTTCCCACTCCTTCTGGTTTCAAGCCTGAAAAGAGAAAATGACTGAAAGGAGCCACCATGGTAGTCACTAAGCGTGGTGATACAAGGGTAGGACATCTGGAGGACTTCTGGTGCAAAATCATTCGGGGATTAGAGTTGCAAGAGCTTGCAAGGAAGGGGCTCCAGGGTGGAGGGAGATCACTTTTTTGTTGGGTCTTTGCATCACAGTAATACTAGGTTCACGCCCGGTTTTAAACCCCGCCTTTCCAGAAGAGCCATTTACTTCATGTAGCCCCACTGCCAATGAAGTACCCAAAAGAGGATATCTAAGTTCTTCATCCTTGAGCAGAACTAATATAATGGAAATGCTCGAATGGTATGAAGGAACTCGCCAAAATAGATTGCTCCATAGATCAAAGCAGCAACAGTGAATCCTTGAGCCGCACAACGACCACGCATATAGAGCTGTGCCTGATAAGGCTTCCGCCTTACAGTCGCAGCAAGCATGCCTAAA